GAGGGCTGCCTCGGCTCCTCGCAGCCTGGCTCTCTGTGGGCCCGGGTACCTGAAAGCCCCCACTCGGTCCCATGCCCTAGCCGTGTCACGCCCAGAATGCTCCCCAGCGAGGACCAGCTCCTCCCATGCACCACCCGGCCCAGCTGCAGCTGGCCCGGAGCTCAGCCAGAACCCTGCGCCTCCCCACCCACGGTCTGAGCCTGCCGCTGGCAGGCAGCCTCGTCCTCTGCCAGAGGCGGGGACAGAGAGCCCAGGCCCAGAGCCCCAGTCAAGGTCACATCTGGGGGCAGGGCTGTTCAGGCCCCCGGTCACCAGCGGACAGACTATGCCGGCGAAGCACGCAATGCTCTGTAGCCGCACTTGCTTCCGGCAACAACGCTGGAGGGCGAGAGCGGGCAGGTAGGCACAGCCCCCGGCAGGCCCGGGTCAACCTGAGTGGGGGTTGCCAGTTCGCAGCCACACCGGCTGCACCTGGGCAGGTCCAGATGTCCGTGCCCCAGGGGATGGAGACCCAGGCCAGACTGCAGGCCCACCCCGAGCTTTCTGAGGACACCTGTGCTCCCATCCGGATCGGTGCCATGCAGAGGAAGCTGGAGCAGGGCAGGAGAGCCCCAGGCGTGGGCATACCCATGTCCACCTGGGTCGGCACAGGAGCCACACACAGGCTGGGGCGGCACTGCGGCCTCATGTCTGCTCCCGGGCGCCTTGGGCCTGGCAGTCAGCCTCCTGTGAGTGTGTGCACAGGGCTTGCGGTCCCCTTCCACATGTGTCCTGCCGTGTCTCTACATAGGCCTGAGTGTCTGTCCTGGAGGGTGCCTTGCCAAGCGGCCAGGACTCGGTGCCTGTGAGTCCCGTGGGCCCCGTGGGCCCCAGCCCTGCCAGTTGGGAACCACATCCTGCTCTTTTTCCTGGAACGTGCCCTGCCGAGCATGTGCAGGGAGTCCTGACAGCCCTCGCAGGAGCGGATTCAGGGTGGTAGCAGGTTGCCACGTCCCCAGGTCCTGCCCTCGCCAGGCTATGGACTGAATCCTGCCCTCATTCACATGTGAGATTCCCCCAAGGAATGGGTCAGAGGGTCCTTCGGGAGCTGATTAGGTCATGGTTCCCTCCTGCCACTGGAGACCCATGAGAAGACCCTCTGCCACCCCAGGAGGCTCCCCCACTGGGCCTGCTAGCCCTGTACGTGGACCTCGTCTCGAGAACCAAGAGAACACCTTTTCTGCCTGTCACTCAGTCCAGGAGTTTTCATCTGAGCAGGCCCAGGGTCCTTCTTGCTAGATTCTGATGGAGCCTGGAACAGCAGCTTTGCAGGCCTCCTGGCCGGCTGCAGCCCTGACCTGGGCAGCCCGTGAGGGGTCTGGGAAAGCCAGTGGGCAAGAGGCCGGCAGGGGCAGATGGGTGCAGAGGGCCAGGGCCCTACCAGCCATGCACAGGGGACTGGGCTGAGCACCGGCCTGTGCCAAGAGGATTCGGGGCCTCGGGGCAGGATACTCCACTGCCCGTGATCACAGCAGGGATCAAGGGCCAGTAGAGGGTGGCGTACAGAGCCCTGCACACTCGCCTGCACCTGCTCACTCGCCCGTACTTGCTCACTCGCCCGCACCTGCACACTCGCCTGCACCTGCTCACTCGCCCGCACCTGCTCACTCGCCTGCATCTGCACACTCACCCGCACCTGCACACTGACCTGCACCTGCTCACTCGCCCACACCTGCTCACTCGCCTACACTTGCTCACTCACCTGCACCTGCACACTTGCCCGCACCTGCTCACTCGCCTACACTTGCTCACTCACCCGCACCTGCACACTCGTCTGCACCTGCACACTGACCTGCACCTGCACACTCGCCAGCATCTCCACACTGACCTGCGCCTGCACACTCGCCCGCACCTGCTCACTCGCCTGCACCTGCACACTCGCCCGCACCTGCTCACTTGACTGCACCTGCACACTCACCTGCACCTGCACACTTGCCTGCACCTGCTCACTAGCCTGCACCTGCTCACTAGCCTGCACCTGCTCACTAGCCTGCACCTGCTCACTAGCCTGCACCTGCACACTCACCTGCACCTGCTCTACTACTGCTGGGAAAACCCAGAGGGGACCCCTGGGCCTGGGCAGATACCGACCTCTGCGGTCCTCCAGCCTGTCCGTGTCCCAGAACATCATTTTCCATGCAACTGTGATTCGGGTCCCTTCCCTTGATGGCAAATCAAGGGTTGTGAGGTCAACTCCTCGCTGCCACCGTGGAGAGGGCCATTTCCTTCGTGGCCACAGAAGGACAGCATGGGACAGTCTGGGTGCAGGCGGGGAGCCAGGCTGCCTCAGAGAGGAGGAAGAAACTCAGGGCAGGGTCCTGAGTCCCAAGGACCTGGTAGGGGCCAGGGTCACAGAGGCCACGCTGGGGAAACGGCCGGGACAGTGGCGCCCAGCCCCAGCTGTCCCAGAGTGGAGAGTGAGGAGGGACGTCTTCCCTGGGCCCAGGGGGACCCGGCGCCCTGCTTGGCTCCCTACGGGCCAGTCGCCGCTGCCCCTCTGGGGTGGACGAGTCCCCGGATTCCCCTAAGGTATTCATCGATGCGTGAGGGGGTCTCCAAGGGAGCGGGCGAGGGTGGGAGGAATAACCAGACTGCTCCCGCGGAGAAGCGCCTGGCGAGCTCCGTCCCACGACGCCTCGGACCCGGACCCGAGGTGCGGTGTGCGGGTGCCCCGAGCGAGCCGCGTGCGCAAGACCTCGGGGAGAGCTCTGCTGGGCTGGCGGGCGGCGCCTCGGGTGCCATCGTCGGGCGCAGTGCGGGGCTCAGCGGGCTGGCCCCCACCCACCCTGGGCTACGCGGAGGCGGAGCGGGAGCCCGGGGGCGGGGAGCCCGCAGTTGCTTTCGCGGTTGCTCAGCCGCGAAGACCGAAGACCAGAGCGCAGGCTGAGCCGGCCAGCGGGCAGGTAAGCCCAGGGTGGATTCCCGCGCTGGTGGCCCCCATGGCACCCCGATGGCTGCTCCTTCCGCAGACCCTGAAATCTGGGTGGAGGGGAGCCTGCCGCGGTGGTGCCGTCGGGCGCAACTATCCCTCTATGGCAGGTCTCCTAAGGTCGCCAGGGGGGACGGAGCGCGCCGACAGTGCCCCGTGAGGGCTTGGCGGTGACAGGGGTACGGGGCTGGGGCGGTCCGGGGCGCTGGGCCCGCTCCCCAGCCCCCGCGGGTTCTCAGTTGACCTGACCCTGCAGGGGGCAGGCGGGCGCTTGGAAAGGCAGCAGGAGTCCATGGGGTGGTTTTCTCAGTTACCGCTCCCCTCGCCAGTGCTTTTGTGCTTTTTTGCCTGGCGGGAGCCAGGCAGCTCGTGGCCAAGGGCCTGGGCGAAAGTTTACCAGCTGCTGATTTTTCTGGGGCAGGGGCTGACCTCCCTGTCTTTTCCGGACCCAAACCTCACCTCCCAGCCCGGAGTTTGGGAATAGAGCAGCCCTGTCCACAGGCCAAGGTCAGGCCTCCCAGTGGCTCTCAGTGGCCTGCAAAGGCCTCTGGGAGCGCAACGGCCTGGGGTGTCCTGATGCTGCGAGCCCTTCCCAGCCAGACCCTTGAGCCAGGTCCACCTGCTGCCTGCCACCAGGATGGGCGCTGGAGCGAGCTGGGGGCAGCTTAGGTGACCTCTGCCCAGAGCTCTTGCTCCAGCTCGGCTCTGATGCTGCCAAGGGAAGTCGCTCCACTAGCCCTGTCCCCGGCAGCCTCCAGCTCAACCAGTGTGTGTGCGTGTACATGGTGTGTGTGCACAGCAGTGTGTGTGCACAGTGCTGTGTCTGTACGTGTCATGGTGTGCATGTACATAGTGTTGTGTGTGTGCACATGTGTGTAGTGGTGTTCATGTTCATAGTGGTGTGTGTGTAGTGGTGTGCATGTATATAGTGGTATGTGTGCATGTATGTGTGTCGTGGTGTGCATGTACATGGTGGTATGTGAGGATACAGTGTGTGCATACACATACTGGTGTTTTTGTGTGTGTGTAGTGGTGTGCATGTACCCAGTGGGTATATGTGTGTGTATGTGTAATAGTGTGTGTGTATAGTGGTATGTGTGCATGTGTGTGTGTCATGGTGTGCATGCACACAGTGGTATGTGGGGATGCAGTGGTGTACGTGTACATAGTAGTGTGTGTGTGTAGTGGTGTGCATGTACCCAGTGTGTATGTGTGCATGTTGTGGTGTGCATGCCCACAGTGGCACATGGGGGTGCAGTGGTGTGTGTGTACATAGTAGCACGTGTGCATGCACACACAACTGGAGCAGTGCTGAGGGTGCGAATAGCAGAAGGGTGCCCGGACTGACTGGGCGTGCCCCGCACCATTGTTTCCCTGGGTCTTTCCAACGCCCATCGGGCAGGGCATGCTCGGGAGTGCTATAGCTACGAGCTGCCCCGCACGCCTGTGTCCATGCACCCTCCCCGCAGGCCGCAGATGCTGAGGCTGAGCGGTGCCCTTCGGAGAAGCTGCACGCCAGCTCTCAGCTGCTGTGGCCGGTTCTGGTCTGGGGCTCGCTCTTCACGTCTGAGTATAAAGCACGCGCCGGACATGGAGCAGCTACTTCCCAAGGGTGGGAGAGCGGGGCGACCTGAGTGTGACTAGCGGAGTGGGCCGTGCCCTGGCAGGAAGGTAGAGGACTGTGGGCAGAGCACAGCCCGGGGCCATCTGTCTCCAGGTCCCCACCAACCTGACTGCCTCTCTGCACCTCCCCACACCCCTGCCCCCGCCTGTCATCATGGGTGCTGGGACTGTCCCTCCCAGAGGAATGAATGCAGAGCCTCTGTCCCTGTCCTCCGCTGGGGTGCACGGGTAGTCCTGGTACTAAGTCGCCACCTTCCTGTGTGTTTATTTTTCATGCTGGCTGATGACCGAGCAGGAAGGAGCCCAGACTTGCCATGAGTAAAAGCAAATGCCCAGTGGGGCCCATGTCCCCCACAGCGGCCCCAGTTAAGGAGCCCAATGCCACGGGCCCCAAGGAGGTGGAGCTTGTCCTGCTCAAGGAGCAAAATGGGGTGCAGCTCACGAACTCCACCCTCATCAGCCCCCCACGCATGCCTACGGGGACCCAGGAGCGGGAGACCTGGGGCAAGAAGATCGACTTCCTCCTCTCCGTCATCGGCTTCGCAGTGGACCTGGCCAACGTCTGGCGGTTCCCCTACCTGTGCTACAAAAATGGCGGTGGTGAGTCCACACGGCCTCCCGAGCAGTGCAGGCGCTGGCCTGGCAGCATAGGTGTCGCCTCCTGGAAACGCACACACAGCAGCGGCTGCTGTCCCGTGCAATGGAGCCCTCGTGCCAGAGCGCGCGCTGGGCACGGGCTCTCCCAGAAGGGCGTCACACAACCACCCACAGCGCGGCCTCAGAGCAGTGGCTCCCTGGCTTCCCAGGACAACCGAGTGGGGGAGGCCAGTAGGAAGTTGGAGGTGCAAGAAAATCGCCTTCCTCCTCTCCGGCATCGGCTTCGCAGTGGACCTGGCCAACGTCTGGCGGTTCCCCTACCTGTGCTACAAAAATGGGGTGCAGCTCACGAACTCCACCCTCATCAGCCCCCCACGCATGCCTACGGGGACCCAGGAGCGGGAGACCTGGGGCAAGAAGATCGACTTCCTCCTCTCCGTCATCGGCTTCGCAGTGGACCTGGCCAACGTCTGGCGGTTCCCCTACCTGTGCTACAAAAATGGCGGTGGTGAGTCCACACGGCCTCCCGAGCAGTGCAGGCGCTGGCCTGGCAGCATAGGTGTCGCCTCCTGGAAACGCACACACAGCAGCGGCTGCTGTCCCGTGCAATGGAGCCCTCGTGCCAGAGCGCGCGCTGGGCACGGGCTCTCCCAGAAGGGCGTCACACAACCACCCACAGCGCGGCCTCAGAGCAGTGGCTCCCTGGCTTCCCAGGACAACCGAGTGGGGGAGGCCAGTAGGAAGTTGGAGGTGGCACCTTGGCTCTGCCTTCCAGTTCCAAAGGTGGTTTTCACTTTGGAAAAAACCCTCACAGGCCCGAAGACAGTTTCTTTGAGGACTTAAAGAGTATTTACAACATTTGTGGCCACCCTCACACTCGAGTGGAGGAAGATACTCTGGAAACGTTCCTGTCTCCACTGCGTCTCTGCACCTGAGTCAGAACGTGAGGACAAGGGGCAGGACCGCCCAGTCCCGGGGGAGCCAGGCGATGGGTACTCTTTGCTGTGAGTCCCTGGCCCTCCCGTTTGCCCCCTGGGCCTCCCTGCTGGGCGCCCTGGACTGAACATCAGAGGCGTTTCTGGGGAGGGCCCCACTGCACACGCACGAGTAAGTCAGCACTGTCACCCATCTCACCCATCGGGAACATGGGAAGACGGAGGCCTCCACTGAGGCAGAAAGTTGCCTGAAGACAGAGCCAAGGGTCTCTAGGCCGCCCCCCTCCGCAGCAGAGGGCCATGGCCAGGCCGGATTAGGGCAGACGATGGGCCCTGCTCTCTGCGCCGGGTGAGGGTGAAGGGAGCCCGGTGTAGAGGAGCGAGGCCCTGCCTTGGGGGCTTTCCGCAGCAGGGCAGCGTCTGCGACGAAGACACCACCACCACCACACACACACACACACACCACTCTGCGGAGCCAGGCTCTGCATACCAGGAGCCAGGAACCAGATCGGATCAGGACAGGGAGAGGACAGGCCAGGGAAGGGCCCCCATCTGAGCAGGGAGGCGAATCTGCAGAGGGGTCGGGCCTGCCTTCTCTGCTCGTGGGTGTGACTTCACGGCTTGGGCCGCGGGAGGAGTCGGGCTCTCGGGAAGGCTGTCGGGCACTGGCCACCATCAGGCATGGCGTGGAGTGAGGAGGCTCTCCCACTCCCTCCCGGGACATGCCTCGGCGGTGGGAGATGGGGTGGAAAGAGTTGAGCATGGCCAACTGGGATGAGCACCCATGGGAAAGGCAGCCCTCAGCTCAACCATTGCTGTGCCCACAGGCGCCTTCCTGGTCCCCTACCTGCTCTTCATGGTCATCGCCGGGATGCCGCTGTTCTACATGGAGCTGGCCCTCGGGCAGTTCCACAGAGAAGGGGCCGCTGGTGTCTGGAAGATCTGCCCCCTCCTGAAAGGTAATGGCGCCCCCTCCTCCACGGCAGACCCCGCGCGGCTCCAGAGCGTCCAGGCGGCCAGCCTGTCCTGGTGCCTGTGGTCCTGCTCTGCCGAGACACGTGGCCATGCATGCCGGGGTGTTTGGCTCCAGTTGAGCTAGAATGCCAAGGACATGAGCATGCGTCCCACACTTCCTGGTGAGCCCGCCCTGCCATCGCTGGTGTTCCTTTGTCATGAGTTAAAATGGCGCATGAGATAACCAACCGTCGGTCAGTCATCTACTATCCATTATCCATCATCTGTCACCTGTCTCCACCCACACATCTGTCTACCTGTCTATCATCTGTCTCCATCCATCTGTCTGTCTATCATCTGTCTCCACCCACCCGTCTGTCTATCATCTGTCTCCACCCACCTGTCTGTCTATCATTTGTCTCCACCCACCTGTCTATCATCATCTATCTCCATCCATCATCATCTGTCTCCAAGCATCTGTCTATCATCTGTCTCCATCTGTCTATCATCATCTGTCTCCATCCGTCTGTCTGTCTATCATCTATCTCCATCCGTCTATCTATCATCATCTGTCTCCATCTGTCTACCTGTCTATCATCTGTCTCCATCTGTCTCCCTGTCTATCAGCCTCTGTCTCCATCCGTCTGTCATCATCTCACTCCATCCATCTGTCTGTCTATCATCTATCTCCATCCGTCTATCTATCATCATCTGTCTCCATCTGTCTCCCTGTCTATCAGCCTCTGTCTCCATCCGTCTGTCATCATCTCACTCCATCCATCTGTCTGTCTATCATCTATCTCCATCCGTCTATCTATCATCATCTGTCTCCATCTGTCTCCCTGTCTATCAGCCTCTGTCTCCATCCGTCTGTCATCATCTCACTCCATCCATCTGTCTGTCTATCATCTATCTCCATCCGTCTATCTATCATCATCTGTCTCCATCTGTCTCCCTGTCTATCAGCCTCTGTCTCCATCCGTCTGTCATCATCTCACTCCATCCATCTGTCTGTCTATCATCTATCTCCATCCGTCTATCTATCATCATCTGTCTCCATCTGTCTCCCTGTCTATCAGCCTCTGTCTCCATCCGTCTGTCATCATCTCACTCCATCCATCTGTCTGTCTATCATCTATCTCCATCCGTCTATCTATCATCATCTGTCTCCATCTGTCTCCCTGTCTATCAGCCTCTGTCTCCATCCGTCTGTCATCATCTCACTCCATCCATCTGTCTGTCTATCATCTATCTCCATCCGTCTATCTATCATCATCTGTCTCCATCTGTCTCCCTGTCTATCAGCCTCTGTCTCCATCCGTCTGTCATCATCTCACTCCATCCATCTGTCTGTCTATCATCTATCTCCATCCGTCTATCTATCATCATCTGTCTCCATCTGTCTCCCTGTCTATCAGCCTCTGTCTCCATCCGTCTGTCATCATCTCACTCCATCCATCTGTCTGTCTATCATCTATCTCCATCCGTCTATCTATCATCATCTGTCTCCATCTGTCTCCCTGTCTATCAGCCTCTGTCTCCATCCGTCTGTCATCATCTCACTCCATCCATCTGTCTGTCTATCATCATCTGTCTCCATCCATCTGTCATCTAACATCTGTCTCAATCCATCCGCCTGTCCACCTATCTATTGTCACCTGTCTCCATCCGTCTGTCTGTCTACCTGCTTGTCTATCACTGTCATCTGCCTCTACCCACCCCTCTGTCTCCCTGTCTATCTCTCACCATCTGTCTCTCTGTATTGGTTTGCCGGGGTTTCTGGAATAAAGTACCACACATTGAGGGGTGTGGGGCTTGGACAACAGGAATCTATTGTCTCAAAGTCCTAGAGGCTAACATCAAAATCAGAGAGCTGGCAGTTTGGTTTCCTTTGAGGGCAGTGAGGAGCCTATGTCAGGCCTTCCTCCTTGGCTTATCGAGCCACCTTCTCCCTGGCCTCCCTTCTATGCCTGTCCCTGTTACAGTCACATTGGACTAGGGGCTGCCCTAATGACCTCACTGTAGCATGGGCACCTCTTAAAGGACCCCATCGAGTAAGGTCATAGTTCAAAGTACTAGGGCTAGGGCTTCAACAAGTGCATGTGGGAGGGCGCACTTACCTGTAACTTTCTCTTTCTGTCTCATCTATCACTCACTTATCTACCTATGTATCTTCCATTATCTGTATCTATCAATCATCGATCTACCTAGCATCTGGACCCATCTGTCATCTATTGGGTTAATAGAGAACTCATATATTTCTGGTTTTCTATGCAAAAATGCATCATGACATTCCTAACAACCTAATATATCATCTATCTCTCATCCATCCTCCACCCCCGTCTGTCCTCCACCTACCGTCTCCCTGTCATCTGCTCATCCATTCTCCACCCCCGTCTGTCCTTCGCCTACCGTCTACCTGTCATCTGCTCCTTCATCCTCCTCCCCATCTATCCTTCGCCTACCGTCTCCCTGTCATCTGCTCCTCCATCCTCCACCCCCGTCTATCCTCCACCTACCGTCTCCCTGTCATCTGCTCCTCCATCCTCCACCCCCGTCTATCCTCCACCTACCGTCTCCCTGTCATCTGCTCCTCCATCCTCCACCCCCGTCTATCCTCCACCTACCGTCTCCCTGTCATCTGCTCCTCCATCCTCCACCCCCGTCTATCCTCCACCTACCGTCTCCCTGTCATCTGCTCCTCCATCCTCCACCCCCGTCTATCCTCCACCTACCGTCTCCCTGTCATCTGCTCCTCCATCCTCCACCCCCGTCTATCCTCCACCTACCGTCTCCCTGTCATCTGCTCCTCCATCCTCCACCCCCGTCTATCCTCCACCTACCGTCTCCCTGTCATCTGCTCCTCCATCCTCCACCCCCGTCTATCCTCCACCTACCGTCTCCCTGTCATCTGCTCCTCCATCCTCCACCCCCGTCTATCCTCCACCTACCGTCTCCCTGTCATCTGCTCCTCCATCCTCCACCCCCGTCTATCCTCCACCTACCGTCTCCCTGTCATCTGCTCCTCCATCCTCCACCCCCGTCTATCCTCCACCTACCGTCTCCCTGTCATCTGCTCCTCCATCCTCCACCCCCGTCTATCCTCCACCTACCGTCTCCCTGTCATCTGCTCCTCCATCCTCCACCCCCGTCTATCCTCCACCTACCGTCTCCCTGTCATCTGCTCCTCCATCCTCCACCCCCGTCTATCCTCCACCTACCGTCTCCCTGTCATCTGCTCCTCCATCCTCCACCCCCGTCTATCCTCCACCTACCGTCTCCCTGTCATCTGCTCCTCCATCCTCCACCCCCGTCTATCCTCCACCTACCGTCTCCCTGTCATCTGCTCCTCCATCCTCCACCCCCGTCTATCCTCCACCTACCGTCTCCCTGTCATCTGCTCCTCCATCCTCCACCCCCGTCTATCCTCCACCTACCGTCTCCCTGTCATCTGCTCCTCCATCCTCCACCCCCGTCTATCCTCCACCTACCGTCTCCCTGTCATCTGCTCCTCCATCCTCCACCCCCGTCTATCCTCCACCTACCGTCTCCCTGTCATCTGCTCCTCCATCCTCCACCCCCGTCTATCCTCCACCTACCGTCTCCCTGTCATCTGCTCCTCCATCCTCCACCCCCGTCTATCCTCCACCTACCGTCTCCCTGTCATCTGCTCCTCCATCCTCCACCCCCGTCTATCCTCCACCTACCGTCTCCCTGTCATCTGCTCCTCCATCCTCCACCCCCGTCTATCCTCCACCTACCGTCTCCCTGTCATCTGCTCCTCCATCCTCCACCCCCGTCTATCCTCCACCTACCGTCTCCCTGTCATCTGCTCCTCCATCCTCCACCCCCGTCTATCCTCCACCTACCGTCTCCCTGTCATCTGCTCCTCCATCCTCCACCCCCGTCTATCCTCCACCTACCGTCTCCCTGTCATCTGCTCCTCCATCCTCCACCCCCGTCTATCCTCCACCTACCGTCTCCCTGTCATCTGCTCCTCCATCCTCCACCCCCGTCTATCCTCCACCTACCGTCTCCCTGTCATCTGCTCCTCCATCCTCCACCCCCGTCTATCCTCCACCTACCGTCTCCCTGTCATCTGCTCCTCCATCCTCCACCCCCGTCTATCCTCCACCTACCGTCTCCCTGTCATCTGCTCCTCCATCCTCCACCCCCGTCTATCCTCCACCTACCGTCTCCCTGTCATCTGCTCCTCCATCCTCCACCCCCGTCTATCCTCCACCTACCGTCTCCCTGTCATCTGCTCCTCCATCCTCCACCCCCGTCTATCCTCCACCTACCGTCTCCCTGTCATCTGCTCCTCCATCCTCCACCCCCGTCTATCCTCCACCTACCGTCTCCCTGTCATCTGCTCCTCCATCCTCCACCCCCGTCTATCCTCCACCTACCGTCTCCCTGTCATCTGCTCCTCCATCCTCCACCCCCGTCTATCCTCCACCTACCGTCTCCCTGTCATCTGCTCCTCCATCCTCCACCCCCGTCTATCCTCCACCTACCGTCTCCCTGTCATCTGCTCCTCCATCCTCCACCCCCGTCTATCCTCCACCTACCGTCTCCCTGTCATCTGCTCATCCATCCTTGACTCCCCGTCTATCCTCCACCTACCGTCTCCCTGTCATCTGCTCCTCCATCCTCCACCCCCGTCTGTCCTCCACCTACCGTCTCCCTGTCATCTGCTCCTCCATCCTCCACCCCCGTCTGTCCTCCACCTACCGTCTCCCTGTCATCTGCTCCTCCATCCTCCACCCCCGTCTGTCCTCCACCTACCGTCTCCCTGTCATCTGCTCCTCCATCCTCCACCCCCGTCTGTCCTCCACCTACCGTCTCCCTGTCATCTGCTCCTCCATCCTCCACCCCCGTCTGTCCTCCACCTACCGTCTCCCTGTCATCTGCTCCTCCATCCTCCACCCCCGTCTGTCCTCCACCTACCGTCTCCCTGTCATCTGCTCCTCCATCCTCCACCCCCGTCTGTCCTCCACCTACC